AAACAGAGGACGAGAGAGACACCGAGAAGGAAGTAGGAGGCAGGAAAGGAAGAGAAGGAAGAGCAAGAGGCCAAGAGGAAGACAAGCTCGTTTCGCCTGAAACATCCTTGCAATCTTGCAGGGGTTCTTTTGGAATCCTTCTCGAAAAACCTCCTGGCGCTCCCTTGCGCCCCTCGAAGATCCACCGAGGCCCGAGGCCCTTGCAGTCTCGAGATTTCAGCTCGAGGCCCACTGGAGCTCGAGAGCGCGGAGGTTCGAGGCTTGCCTCGACGCTCGTCGCTGCGCGGGAGGGAAGGAGAGAGGGAGGGGGGAAGGGAGAAAGGGGCGACGGCAGCGACGACGGCAGCGACGCCGGCAGAGACGACGACGGCGACGACGACGACGACGACGACGACGACGACGACGACGACGCCGACGACGACGACAGCGACGTCGTCGCTGCCCCCGTCGTCGCTGCCGTCGCCGCCGCCGCTTCCATCTTCTCTCCCTTCCTCCCCCCTCTCACCTCTCCCCCTCCCCCTCCCTCCTCCCCTCCCTCCTCGCTCGCTCCTCCCTCCTTCTTCTCCTCACCTCCCGTCTCTCTCTCCCCTCCTCCCCCCTCCAACGTCCTCTAGCAATATCTTGTTTCGCTTGGGACATCCTCAAACACATCTCGCGTTTCGCTTGAAACATCCGCGACAATTCCCCGCTTTGCTGGAGACATCCTCCTGGTTTCGCTTGAGACATCCTCAAACAAATCTCGCGTTTCGCTTGAGACATCCTCGAAAATTCCTCGCTTTGCTTGAGACATCCTCCTTGGTTTCGCTTGAGACATCCTCGGCGATCTCGTTTCGCTTGCGATATCCTCGAGCAATTGCTTGCGTCGCTCGGGGGTTCCTCTCCTCCCCCCCCCCCTCCGTCCTCGATCGATCCTCGGATCGAGAGTCCAAGATTCTCGAGCCAGGGATCCGAGATCTTGTGATCTCGGATCATCGATGGCTCGAGGCTCTCGGAGCCTCGATCCGAAGATCTATCGAGGATCGCGCCTCGAAGAGGAGGGAGACATTGAGACAGAGGCTCGATCCTGGATCGATCCTCCGATCGAGAGTCCAGAGTTCTCGGGCCAGGGATCCGAGATCTTGTGATCTCGGATCAACGATGGCCCGAGGCTCTCGGAGCCTCGATCCGAAGATCGATCGAGGATCGAGCCTCGATGGAGTTACGCTCGATTTTACGCTCGAGAGGGGGCTGGCGAAGCCTCTCGGATAACGCCTCTCGAAGAACTCGAGGGAGCTGGGCGCTCATCGCCGCTCGCTCCTCGTTCAGGCCTCGATCAGGCCTCGTGCTGAGCCTGGCTCGGCTCAAGCCTGCGCCTCGGACGTATTGAGCTCCTGCTTGCGCTTCTTCTCGTCGCACATCTCCTTGTACTCCTCGATAATCTTGTAGTAGCTCGGAAACTTCTTCTGGACGTAGATGTCGAAGAAATTCTTCTCGTACTCGAGCTTCCTCTGGTACTTGGTGTCCTCGTCCATCTTGGCGCGCTTGATGAAGTACCCGTGTTGATCGAGCTCGTGGCGCTTCTTGGCAAACTCGGCGATTTGCCGGCACCAGGCGACGATCCCCTCTGTCACGAGGACGCGCTCGTTCTCGTAGTTCTCGATGCTGTTTGCCTGGAACTGCTCGAAGTATGGCTTGGCCGCCTCGGGCACGGAGGCGACCGCGTCGAACGCGCGCGTGTCCTCGTCTGGCTCGTCGCTGTCGCTCGGCAAGATGGGCTTGCACTGCTTGTTCACTGGGAGCATGATCTCGTACAGCGCTTGCAGATCTGCGGGGATCTCGCCGAGCACTCGCCTGACAATGTCGGCCGCGGGCCCCTTGGGCATCATCTGGACCTTCTCGCCGACCATGGCGTCGTGCGTCTTGGCCTCGTCGAGAAACTCCGCTCGGAAGCTCGGCAAAATCTTGAACAGCGTCTCGACGCTCTTGTCTGCGTCGTCGAAGGCGTTGAACGTCTCGCCGCTCCGCTCGATGTGCGTCTTGAAGAAGATCGCGCAGAAGAGCCCGCTTCGGCGCCGATCCTTGCCTCGGAAGATGCCCTCGTACTTGATCCCCTCGAGGCTTCCATTCTTGAGGGCACTCGCCAACGCGGCGCCTCGAATATTCTTGTGGTACAGCGCGGAACTCCCTCGACACCACATCCCCAACATTCTCGAAGCGTCGGTTGCCTCGCCGCTGGCTTGGCATTGGCGCATCTCGGCGCACCCCGCCTTCTCGGCGATGTACGCGAGGCTCTGGTTCTGCAAGTCGGCAAGCTTGCTCTGCTCCTCGAGGAGCTTGGCAACTCCTTTGAGGAGCTTGTTGTTCTGCTCGAGCAGGGCGATGACTTGGCTGTCCTCGGCCATCTGCGGGCTCGAGGGCTTGGACGCCGCCATGGCGAAGCTGGAGCTCGAAAGCTGGAAAGGCTCGAGAACTCGGAAAGCTCGAAACGCTCGAGCCAGAACGGTCGCGGGCGGGAGCAGGAGAATTGCTCGCTTCGCTAGAGACATCCTCGAAAACGCGCCCGTTCCGCTCGAGACATCCTCGAACAAATCTCTCGTCATCAGACATCCTCGACAAATCTCTCGCTTTGCTTGAGATATCCTCGTATACTTGTTTCGCTTGAGACATCCTCGACGAATCGCTCGTTTCGCTTGAGACATCCTCACAGCATCTCTCAATTCGCTTGAGACATCCTCGAGCGATTGCTGTTTTCGCTTGAGACACCCTTAAGAAACATATCGTTTCGCTTGGGACATCCTTCAGTATATGCTTGTTTCGCTTGAGACATCCTCGAGTATATTCTTGTTTCGTTTGAGACAGCCTCGACAAGCTTCTCGAATCGCTCGAGACATCCTCGAGTATATGCTTATTTCGCTTGAGACATCCTCGGCAAGCTTCTCGAATCGCTTGACACATCCTCACAGAATTGCTGGTTTCGCTTGAGACATCCTCGAAACATTGCTCGTTTCGTTTGAGTCTGCCTCCCAAAATTCTTGGTTTCGCTTGACACATCCTCACAGCATTGCTGTTTTCGCTTGAGACATCGCTTGAGACATCCTTGAGAAACGTATCGTTTCGCTTGAGACATCCTTCAGTATATGCTTGTTTCGCTTGAGACATCCTCGAGTATATGCTTGTTTCGCTTGAGGCATCCTCGACAAGCTTCTCGAATCGCTTGAGACATCCTCTCAGAATTGCTGGTTTCGCTTGAGACATCCTCGAAACATTGTTCGTTTCGTTTGAGTCTGCCTCCCAAAATTCTTGGTATCGCTTGACACATCCTCACAGAATTGCTGTTTTCGCTTGAGGACGTCCTTAAGAAACGTATCGTTTCGCTTGAGACATCCTTCAGTATATGCTTGGTTTCGCTTGAGACATCCTCGAGTTTATGCTTGTTTCGCTTGAGACATCCTCGGCAAGCTTCTCGAATCGCTTGAGACATCCTCACAGAATTGCTGGTTTCGCTTGAGACATCCTTGAAACATTGCTCGTTTCGTTTGAGTCTGCCTCCCAAAATTCTTGGTTTCGCTTGACACATCCTCACAGAATTGCTGTTTTCGCTTGAGACATCCTTAAGAAACGTATCGTTTCGCTTGAGACATCCTTCAGTATATGCTTGTTTCGCTTGAGACATCCTCGAGTATATGCTTGTTTCGCTTGAGACATCCTCGACAAGCTTCTCGAATCGCTCGAGACATCCTCGAGTATATGCTTGTTTCGTTTGAGACATCCTCGACAAGCTTCTCGAACGCTTGAGACATCGTCACAGAATTGCTGGTTTCGCTTGAGACATCCTTGAAACATTGCTCGTTTCGTTTGAGTCTGCCTCCCAAAATTCTTGGTTTCGCTTGACACATCCTCACAGAATTGTTGTTTTCGCTTGAGACATCCTTGAGAAACGTATCGTTTCGCTTGAGACATCCTTCAGTATATGCTTGTTTCGCTTGAGACATCCTCGAGTATATGGTTGTTTCGCTTGAGACATCCTCGACAAGCTTCTCGAATCGCTTGAGACATCCTCACAGAATTGCTGGTTTCGCTTGAGACATCCTTGAAACATTGCTCGTTTCGTTTGAGTCTGCTTCCCAAAATTCTTGGTTTCGCTTGACACATCCTCACAGAATTGTTGTTTTCGCTTGAGACATCCTTAAGAAACGTATCGTTTCGCTTGAGACATCCTTCCGTATATGCTTGTTTCGCTTGAGACATCCTCGAGTATATGCTTGTTTCGCTTGAGACATCCTCGACAAGCTTCTCGAATCGCTTGAGACATCCTCACAGATTGCTGGTTTCGCTTGAGACATCCTTGAAACATTGCTCGTTTCGTTTGAGTATGCCTCCAAAAACTCTTGGTTTCGCTGGGGACATCCTGAAAAAAGTGTGATCGCTTCGCTTGATGTTGCTATATCAACATAACTTGATGTTGCTATCTCAACATAACGTTACGAAGTGATAATGAAGTTCGGCCTCAACGCTCGCCGCCCAATTTGAATTTTATATAGGGCGCCGATAATCAACTCTAAAGACTGAAGGGGGGATACATTATTATCCTCGGCATGCGGTTATTTGAAATCGTGCAAGCCCATCCCTCTTCGATCCTCGAGGGCCGAGGTCAAGCTTCAGCCGCACAAAGATCTGCATCAACAGAATTTCTTGGAGCTCCGCGTCGAGCTCTTGGATCGGCGCTGGGCCCCCCTGGAGGCGCCTCCGGCACCGCCCCCTGGCGCGCCCCGCGCGCCAGGGCGGGGGGGGTCCAGCCCAGCGCCGATCTGAGAAATCCGCGCGGAGCTCTAGCGGTTTCTGCTCCTGCGAAGGATTGCAAAAAAAAAACCCAGGATTGCAAAACAAAAAAAAGGATTGCACAAAAAACCCAGGGTTTTTTTGCAATCCACTTTCGAAGGATTGCAATCCATTTTCGAAGGATTTTCGAAGGATTTTCGAAGGATTGTTTTTTTTGTTTTTTTTGCAATCCTTGGGACAAGGTGACCATCGGCGAGGGCGCCAACGCCGTGGTGTTCGACTCCGAGCGGGCCCCGAGGTCCGAGAACCCCGTGTGGGAGTTCTGCCTCGAGCACAGCCTGGAGTTTGCCTCCTCGGGGCTGCCGCCGCGCGTGCAGGCGGCGCGCCGGCAGAGAGCGGCGTATTTTGTTCGGTCTGCCGTTTTTCTGGAGGTAGGAAAGGGGTATGGTGTAAAGGGGTGTGGTGCGAATTGTATGTATAGGGAAATCCGGCGCGGTTATCTATCGAAGATAGCATCGCCATTTCCACGATTGGCACCATACCCCTTTATGCCACACCCCTTTCCGACCTCCAGAGTTTTCGGTGTCCAGAAGCTCGTTTCGGGCCCTTGGGACAGTCCAACGCTGGATCCGGGGCGAAAAACTGCACCTGCCGGGTGGACCACGGGAGTCCAGAAGCTCGTTTCGGGCCCTTGGGACAGTCAAACGCTGGATCCGGGGCGAAAAACTGCGCTGGATGGACCACGGGAGGGGGTCCTGGGGCCCATTTTGAGCGTATCTGCCCTCATCCCGCCTTCCTGACAAATGGTCTCGGTGGCCATCCAGTTCAGACCCCTCAGCAGGCTCCAAGTCGAGGCTCAAGCTTCGAGCGTCGAGCTTGTCCGATACCCTGTGGGGCTCTTTGTGCGAGCCTCGGGGGGGCTTCTCGTGGCCACGGTTGGACTCCCTCTTCGGGATCCTGGTGGAAGTGCGCCGCAGACCACAGCAGAGGTCCGGGGGCAGATCTAGATGGATTGTCAGAGGGTCTTTTTTTGCGAGCGCGTCAAGCAAGAAACCAGCCTGCCAGCAGATGCCCCACCGAAACGTCTCAGGTAATTATCTCCCGACGGCCCTGGGGACCCGCCGAAGCCTTGGGGCACCTCAGGAAGCTCGGAAATTGTTTACCACTGTGCCGCACGATGTTTCTTCGAGCAGGATATCTTATCGTGTGTCCTTACTGTGTACACATGTCAGTGCTGCACATGAATCATCTAACAAAGCCCGAACACCGCGAAGCATGTCACACTTCCATAGTACTCTCTGGGCTCAAGCGAGGCCCAGTATGGACATGGATTTCGGCCCGAACCCTGCCCGCGAGCTTGTACGCTCCCCTCAGGACCGCCGCGATCGTTGGGGCCGGCAGCTGCCCGCCCGCGCCGGCGTGCCCGGCCTGCCCGCCGTGCCCGGCGGTGCCGCCGTGCCCGGGCGCGCCCCTTCTCCCCGAGCCGACGTGCGGGCTCGTGGATCCCAGGGCGCTGGCCTGGAGCGGGCGCCTCTGGGCCTGGGCTGGATTCTTGGCGGGCGCCAGCTGCGTGATCCTGTCCATCGGCCCTCTGTGCAACTGCCGCGGGAGGCGCAGTAGCGGTGCCTGCCCTTCAGGTATATGACCGCCGGGGCCAGCGGCGGTGGTGGCGTCAGCGGTGGCCTGGGCCTGCGTATAGTACGTACGCGACGCCGGAGGCCCTGTGCCACCAACGTTTCCTGCTCGGGGTGCGGGCGTCATCGGTGGCTAGATTCCCTGTGGTCACGCCCGACACCCAGGTGTACAACGAGGACTTCGGGCCCTCGACTGCAGACATCGTCGGCATCCGTTTCTCGAACCAGCGGTAGCCCCCGCCGCCTGGAGTGACGCGCGGCATGTGCTACCAGGAGCCAGCCGCCGCCCAGATTGCTGGCTGGACCGCGGAGGCGAACGCTCACGCGGTGCAGCTGCGGACGACGAGAGGGCTCCTCCCTCCGCTGGTTGACGGCAGCGCCACGCCGCCGCACGTGGGCCCCGCCCCGGGTGCTGCCAGCGGGGGCCCAGCGGCCGCGGCGACTGCGCCGGGCGCCGCCGGCGCGCCAGCCGCAGCGGCTGGCAGCTGGCTCGCGGTCGAGATGCACGCCGGGCGGAGAAGAGATCACCAGGTCTACGAAGCCTCCACGCCACCCAGTCTCTGGGCGGGCCGCCGTCGCCGAATCCGTCTTTTGCAATGTGCACCTAGTCTTTGGGACCGCCGCCGCCGCGAGTTGGCATCGGTTGTTTGTATGATTGCCGTCAGCCCTGCCGTCAGCCCACCCCGCTACCGCGCCTGGGTCGTGGGCCGGAGGCGTCGTCGCGGTTGCGCGCTTGCTCCCTTGGAAACAGAGCTATGTTGTGCAATTCGTCGCGGTTGCGCGGTTGTTCCCTCTGCGTGGGGGGTTCGGTCCCGGGGGGAGCTGTAAGCAGAACTCAGCTGTGTAATTTGTCGCGGTTGCATGGAGAACTCGGGCTTCGGGGGGTAAACGACGGCGAAGCGGGATATTTCCATAAATATCTGGACATGTTTTCTCATGTTTTCGGTGCGCGCTCGTGGGGTGGAAGTTTCGTTTGATGTTGGAAGCGATTGCGGGCGCTTTCGGACATGAGAACGGAGGGGAATTTGAATTGCATTGCGGCGTCGGATGCAAGCTCGTATTTCGCGGTCCGACGATCTGCATGTCGGAACTACAAGTTATAAGAATTCACGCATGGATGCGCGCGAGTTAAGCACGTCTACATACATGGTCTACACCGGTACCTTTCCATGCTCATGTCGCGTGGTACATATCGTGTGCGCAGAGCTCGCCGCCGTCATTGTTATATTGTCGCCGTGGCTTTTGCACGCGGACGTCGCCATTTTTTGCAACACTTATTTAGGGTCTAGGGCGTTTGCCGCCAGACTTGGGCACCCCCTTGCGTAGTGTTTTTACCCCATCAGAGCTTGCCTCTGTAGGGGTCCTAGCGGATCAATCCTCAAGGCGAACGCTCCGTCGGCTATCAAGGCGCAGATCGATGAACAGACGTTTGCGACATCCACGGAGCTGAAGGAAACGATGAACAACTACATGGTGCTCCAAGCAAGCAGTAGCAGCGGACCCGCTCCGATGGGCATCGGGGCGATCGATAAAGGCAAGTACGGCAAGGGCAGGACAGGCAAGAACAAAGGTGGCACCAAGGGCAAGGGCACGAGCAAAGGCGACTCCAAGGGCAAGGGCAAGAACAAGAGCGACGGCAAAGGCAAGTCAGACGGTGGAAAAGGAAAAGGACCACAGTGCCATCGACGCCATCGCCACGGACATATTGCCAAGAACTGCCCCAACCCTCCAGCTACACATAACGAGGTCAGCTCCGGAGAACCTGCCCAGGGAGAACCTCCAGCGAAAGCTCAAGACGGGCATGTCGGTGAAGTTTACGGGGTGCGAGGTGACCAGTGGATCTTTACGATTGCTGGGGGCTCGACCTTGGCGATGATCAGTCTGGGCGGGATCCAGAGCATCTGGGTGATGAAGACCCGATGTTCGACAGCGGTGCATGCGCGCATGTTGCACCCAAGGAGTGCGCGAAGCACGTGCAGATTACGGAACTCTCGGAGGATCCAGAGCTGTTCTCAGCGACTGGCAAGCGCACTCACGTTTACGGACAGCGACTCGTCCCGTTCACCGTTGAGACTGCGTGCGGAAGGTCGCTGGAGATTGTTGCACCGTTCCTTGTTGCAGATGTTCGGAGGCCGCTCATTTCAGTCGGGCAGCTGACGAGCAAGGGTTACGAGTTTCAGCTTGGTTCGGAGGGCTACATGGGCAGGGACGGCCTTGCTATAAAGCTCTCGAGGAGACGGAACGGCTACTTCATGACGGGCTTGCAGAGCCCCGCAGCGAGTATCACGAGAGGCAGACACAATGAGAGCAGGATCGCGGCACCAGTGACCGCCGACCGAGAGGCGAATCCTTCGGGGGGCGTGATCGAGAGCGACCGGGCAGTCGAGGACACCCCAGAGGCGCAGGAGGCTATTGCGCTGAGGGTGCTTGCGCTGCCGAGCGTGGAGGAGCAGGATCGTCACATGCTCACCCGCGTGCCCCATGCACCGTGGTGCGAGAGTTGTGTGTTCGGACGTGGTCAAGAGGGCGCTCATCGACGAAGACATCCAGAGGGAGAGCGACCACCGAATCTAGTTTTGGGCATGGACTATTGTTTCATGGGTATCGACGAGAAGGATTCGGAGACGGCCACAGTCTTGGTGATTCAAGATAGCGTATCAGGGAATATGGGAGCTGTTCAGGTTACAACGAAGGACCATCACCCTACACGGTTTCATTTCGTAGGTTCTGCGACGATGTCGGCTACCCGCGAGTGACGCTGCATAGTGACGGCGAGCCAGGTATCGTCTCGCTTGCCAGAGCGCTGCTGAAGGATAGGAGCAAGAACGCGAAGGACATCCAGACGCAGATCGCTCTGAGGCATTCGGCGCCAGGATCACGCGCCAGCAATGGCCTGGCGGAAGCGGCAGTGAAGGTTGTCGAGGGACTCGCGAGAACGCTGAAGCACGAGGTCGAGAAGAAGTACGGCGTTCAGATCAAAGGGGACTCTGCCATCCTGAGCTGGATCATCAGGCACGCCACGTTCGTCCAGAACAGGTTCATGTACAAGCGCAATGGCAGGACGGCCTTCGAGGGCCTCATGATGGTCAGATTCAACTCGCCACTGTCGAATTTCGCGGAGAATGTGCTTGCCAAGAGGTCAGGGGTTCCTGACAACAGGCAAGCCGCAGCCTGGGCGCTCGGCATCTGGCTCGGGCGGGCGCCGGGCACTAACGAGCTCATCGTGGGCACGCCGACGGGCGTCGTGAAGGCCCGCGCGGTCAAGCGGAGGCCCAAGGAGCAGCAGTGGGAGAAGGAGCCGTTCAATGCCATGGTTTTCCCGATGTGGTCGCAGAACGACTTGAAGGAGGTTCGGGGTACCCTTGCAGGCTGGACGCCCACGCAGGGGTGCCAGGCATGCGAGGACGAGCAGGCGCCAGTCAGGCGAGCTGGCAGGCCGAAGGCGCATACGACGGCGCGTTTGCAGAGGCAGGCGGAGTTCAAGAGGAGGCATCTGCAGGGCCCGCTGCTCGTGTTCCCAGGTCCATCGGGAGCAGCTCCAGCAGCAGCGGCAGCGGCCGCGCCATCGGCGGCAACGGCGCCAGCAGCACCCAGAGCGGCAGCGGCAGCTGCGTCGCAGAGCCCTAAGCGAGAAGCTGAGGGTCGTGGCGACAGTGCCGAGAAGAGGTTTCGAGCGGGAGACCCGATCTCCCCGAGATCTCGGGGGGCGATTGCAGCGCGAGCAGGCGCAGCGGCGTCGTCTGGATCAGCGAGCAGTTCGGCGGCAGCGGCAGCTCCTACGACACGGATCACGGGGAAGCAAGCCCCAGGGATCCCGAAGAGACCAGCGGATGAGGTTGCGCCGGATGAGCGACAGCCCAGCGAGAGGCCACCACCATCGGCGGCCGACAGGTCCGACATCGAGATGGCGATCAATGTGATCGACGAGCTGCGCCCAAACGAGGAGGAAAACCACGATCAGATGAACGAGCGGGTGTTACCACAGAGGGAGTTCACCTGGGAGGAGATCAAGTCGGCGAGGTATGCGGAGTTCGATCGCCTTGAGGATTTTCGGGCGAAGATCGATGTTCAGCGCGCGGAAGTGGACGGCCCGTTGCTCACGACTACATGGGTCGACGAGGCGCGGGCGGAGGGGTGAAGTCCAGAGTTTGCGCGAGGCCTTTCACTATGCCGAAGAAGCCAAAGGACATGCTGTACACCCCCACGCCAGGCGCATCTACACTACGGATCTCGCTGACACTAGCAACGATCATGGGCTGGAAGGTGGGGTTCTTTGACATCTCGAGGGCATTTCTGCGCATACCTATTCGAGTCAGGGCGTCCCTCGAGCCTCCAGCGGAGTACCAGCAGTATTGCGTCGACAACTTCGGCTACGACCCAGGCGACGTGGTCTGGCTGATGCAGTGCACGATCTACGGACTCAACGAGGCGATGGTGGATTTCGACGCGCACTACAGCGACATCAGTGTGAACCAGCTCGGCATGAGGAGGCTGATCTCAGAGCCGAGTATCTATGTCAGCGAGGATAGCAAGGCGGTTGTGTCGAGGCACGTAGACGACGGGCTAGTTATCGGTGAAGGAAGCGCTCCAGATGATTTCCATGCGGGACTTGGGCAACACTTCCCGCTCGAGATCACGCCAGAGATGACGGCGGGGAGTTCGCAGCTACACCCCGGCAGGGTCATCAAGATGCTCGGCAACGGTCGGGGATGTACCATTCAGATTGCGGCCAAGACGATTGAGAGTCTGTTGGGGTAGCAGGGAGCCGGAAGCGGAAAGGCGGTGACAACGCTTGGAGTGAAGATAGACGCTAAGCAGGCCGGCGAGCAGAAGTTGGACATCGACGAGGCTAAGCGATTCCGTACAGGTACTGGCAAGCTGCTATTCATCGCCAGCGAGCGCTACGATCTGCAGTTCGCGACGAAGGAGGTCAGCCGTGGGATGAAGTCGCCGACGGCGGGAGATGCGATGAGGCTTAAGAGGGTTTGCATCTGCCATCTGCCTGGGCGGCACCAAGGAGATGGTGAGTTTCATCGCGCCGACGCGTTCTGATGATCTCGCACTCAAGGTGAAGGTTGACAGCGATTGGGCAGGAGGCAAGATCGGACGGAAGTCAACATCGAGTGGGCGTCTGTATCTGAACGACACGGCGGTAGCATCCTACAGTCGTACGCAAGCGAGTCCAGCTACGTCATCGGCAGAGGCGGAGATCTACAGCATGGGCTCGGGAGCTTGCGAGGGACTATTCATCGAGACGATGATCGAGGATATGATGCCAAACACGAGAGTGGACGTACAGCTCGAGTCAGACAGCTCATCAGGTACGTCATCACAGAGCCGACTGGGGCTCGGCAAGCTAAAGCACATTCATCTGAAACACATGTTTGCCCAAGGGTTGCTGCGTGAGGGAAGGCCCGTCATTGGAAAAATCCCGACGGCCTTCAACAGCAGCGACCTGGGCACCAAGTATTTGGAGAAGACGGAGTTCGAGAGGCACCGCTTGGCGGTGGGCATCAAGCTTCCAGAGCGCGATGATGTTCATGAAGTCCGAGGAGGACATGGGGGAGGCGCTAGAGATTTGGATGATATTCGGGTTGGTGTGGTGCGATGCCTCACGGGCGTTCTGACGTTGGCTCAGGGAGCTGAAGGAGAGAATCGGCTCGGGGTTGCGACGGTCAATCCAACTAAGGTGGAGAAAGCGGATTCGAGTTTCGCGGAGACAGTCTACTACCAGCTTATCGCGGTGTTTTGTTTCGTGATGTTTGCCGTTGTATACGCTAGGGGTTTTATCTCGGGTATAAGATGGGGCAGTACCAGTCCAGGCCCGACGAGACGAAGGATATCAAGCGGAGTTCTACAATGGTGTGCGGGACGGAATAGGCAGTCAGGCAGAGGACTACAGTGGCGCGACCGGCGCCCATGGAGAATTGTTCGGTGCGCATGATGATTTACGCGGATGATTTCACAATCAATGCGATTCGAGAGAGGTGCTCGATGCGCCGTTTGGGCACGAGCGGATCTAAGAGTGATTTGATTCGGCGTCTCAGGACAGTGGAGTCCTGGTGGCGGTGAGCTCGACGCGAGGGCGTCGAGCGGTTTGCTGTTGTAAAGGCTCCGCGCGGCTGGAACTGCGCGCAGAGTCGAGCCAAACAAGATGTGCTCACCTCCGAGGGGGTGTGCGTGTATATAACCCGTAATCCAGCTGTGCGGCTATGCTATGGTGCGTGCCATGCCGAAAGGGGCTTTGGCTTAATATGACTGAAGTTTGGTGTATGCCCAAAGGGCCTACAGCCTGGTAGCCCTACGGGGCTGGCGGATGTTAGCTGTCACGCTTGTAGTGATTGGAGTTTGCTGTGCAGGACAGAAGGGGATGCATATGTGATAATTTGGCTCAAGACCGCTCTGAGAGAGAAATCACACGAGACCTCGGCTTCTCCCATATATATATATATAAATTATTGGGTCACGGACTGGCGCTACGACTATGCATGCTGGTTTTTGTTGGCATCATAGGCATATACGCACCAAGGCAGGTCGCCCGCTGCAAACCTTGGTAACTTTTGAACAGACTTGTACACAACATCGGCATATCATCGGCTTCATTTTCATGGGGCGTCGACTACCCGACGGAACGACAGATGCTCTGCATACTTTCCATTACCCACTTCAGCGGTAGTATAGTTTTTGAACGATGTTGGCTATATTTCAAGTATCTGGGGGGCCTGGAGCGCCCCCGTCATTGAACGGCGCATGCTGTCATACTTTGCATCAGTTGTTGTCACAATGTTGATCACGTGCGCGCTCTTGAACTTATTGTTTGGTAGCTTCGCACCACATGTTTCGAGAATTCGAGATCGTGTTCTTAGGGCCTGGCGTGCCCTGGGAATGATTCGGTACATTCGTATCATGTTGTTCAGTTGTCGTCGCACTTTCGACCACGCACATATTATTGAATTCGTGCTTCGGGTTGCTTCGCACCCGCGTATTTCGATGTGCATGATATTTGAATTGAATATGCGCCTTTCGCGCATACCTGCACACATGATTTTGTGCGCCGGTGGAAACACCTGCGTCCTCTTTCTCTCCCAGCCTCGCTGCCTGTGGAGACGGGGAGTCGGTGAGGTGTGCCGAGGCGTTTTTGGGAAGCGCACCCTCGGCCCGCTAAAGGCGGGTAGACTCCCTTAAGTATCCCGTGCTGCGTGGCTGGTCCTTTCTTATCTTCCTGGCCGAGGTGGGCCCCGCTTGGGGGACGCAGGGGCTGGAAAAGGCGATTTGTGATGTCCTCACGCCTCTGTTCCCGAGTGCCGCCTCCGTCTCCCGTGGGCCCGACGCCAACGTGGAGCGGGCGGGATTCGGGACGGGGTGCGTGTGTGTGGAGACCGCTCATCTCTCCTTTTCTATCCATCTTTCCCGCTATGCTTTCAGGTGCTGGGCATCTTGAGCGGCCTTGTTCCGACGAGCGCGAGGATAACACAAGTCCATAGTTTCTCCTCATCGTCCTCTATACGGACCGCGCAGTAGGTTCGATTCATCGGTCGTTAACCTCCGTTCACAGGGGAGAGGGAGAAAGGGGGGGACAAGGAAGCAGGAAGGAAGATAACAGAAAAGCGAAAAATGGGTGGAGTCTCGCGCCCGGTCCGCGTTCGCCGTCGCAGCGCTCAACCGCCGTCGCCGTCGTCGTCGTCGTCGTCGTCGTCGTCGTCGGCTTCGCTGTCGTCGCTGTCGTCGCAGGGTCCATTTCGCTTCCATCGATCCAATCGACCCGATCCGATTCGATCTTGATGTTCCGACGACCCGATGTGGTCCGATGCCCGCGTGGCGCTGTTGTCTATCTTGGCGTGGCCGATCCGACTCGATTCCGACTCCGAGCCGATACGACCAGATCAAAAGCGCAGTCCGATTTGATCGGATTTCCGGGTGCAGCGCTTCTGGTGCCAGCTGAGTTGCGACTGGTTAGATTGCCACTCAGTTTTTTCTTCGCGATGCGAATCGTTTTTTAGACATGCTTTGAACGTTCGTCACGTTACAATTCCTTGAACTATTTGCGGGGATGTTTTCAAGACGTGTGGTTGTGGTTTTGATCGCGCGAGCGGGATAGCCTTCCTGAGGGGCAGCGGATGTCGGGTTACGGTCATGAATTTCGGCTTGGCGTGTCGCGGCGCCGGTTCTGGCCCACCAGTCTTCGGCGCGACACGTTTCCCACGCCCTGGTCCGCAGGCGTCAACGGTCCGAGCCTTTCAAGACCTCCCGCCCCGCGGAGCGGAGCGACACGCCATCCGCTCGCAAGCCAGAACTTGTCGCCGGGGCCGCCGTGGCGACATGCTGAGCAAAAGTTCCTGACCGTAGGGTTTTTGGGTTCGATGCTGGCCGGTCCCGCCGCCGCCGCCGTCATCGCAGGTAACGGTGACGCAGAGCGACGGATACTCGTGGGCCGAGGACGGTCGAGCGCTTCTCGGCCTCAGGACCGACTTGGGCGGCGTGGAGATCAAGCTGCCTGTGCGCCCGCCGGTCTTTGAGCAAACGAAAACATCACGCGCACACACACACACACACGCGCACACACACACGCACACACGCGCACACGCACACGCACACGCACACGCACACGCACGCACGCGCGCACGCACGCACACGCACACGCACACCCGCACACGCACACGCACACGCACACGCACACGCCCACGCCCACGCCCACGCGCACGCACACACACACATACATACACGCACGCACGCACGCAAGCACGCACGCACGCACGCACGCACGCAAGCACGCACGCACGCACGCACGCACGCGCACACACACACACACACAAACACACACACACACAACGCACACACACACACACACACTCGCACACACATGCATACACATACACACACACACACACACACACACACACGCACACACACACACACACGCACACTCACGCACACGCACACATACACACACACACACTCTAAATTGTAGATTGCTAGAATTTTGATTATCATGAACCTGTCGATGACCAAGTCCCCTAGGTGCCTCAGGAGCCCTGGGTGCCTCAGGAGCCCAATGATAATCATAATCAGACACGTTTTTCCCATTCGAGAATAACGAACATTGCTGCCAGCGGAGATGGAGCTAGACTGCTTGGAACTCTCATCTGCTGCGGCCGCAGCTCCGCCCCTTGGGGAGCCCCCAGCACCCTTGTCGACAACGAGTGCGTAATCGCGGCGGGGTGGCCATCATGCTGTCTGGTGGGCCTGCGCACTGCAGGCAATATGCCAGCACCACCGCCGTCCCAGTCAAAAACCAATGCACAGTGATCGCGGGGTGCCCAAGCATGAGCCAGACTTTGCCTCGGAGTGTTTTTTTTTTTGTTTTTTGACAGGGAGGCTGGCCCTGCGCGCAGCAGGCAATATGCGGTCACCTCCGCCGTCCTTGTCAAAAACAATATAGGGTGCTTGCGCCCCCCCAATCCCAATCATGACCCAAGATTTTGCCCCGAAGTGGACTCCGCATTGTTTTTTGACAGGGATGGTGGGGGGGTCCTCATTGGTCCTGGTTGGCTGCAGATCGCCTCGGGGAGGGTGTTTTTTTCATAGGGAAGCTCGCCCCAGCCGGTCGCGTGACCACAGGGTTTCCATCTTGCTCCCCGTCGGACCGAGGCGGACGCGGTGCGCCGCCGATGTTAGATTTGGGAGTCCAGCCAGTTTCCCGTTCCTCCTCTTCTTCCTCGTCTTCCTACCCCTCTTCTTCCTCCTTCCTCAGGCGTTGTAGTGTCTTGCTTTGCCGAGCCTGTCTTGGCAGGGTGCCAAATGGCCTTTCGAGCTTGGTCGGTGACAGGGGTCTCCGCCGTCGCACTGACAGGCGATCTGAGAATGCTCCTTGGGATAGTCCGCGGACCAGGATGGTTCGTCGACGCTCTTGAGCCGTAAACTTACGCAATCTGTCGCGAGTTCTTGCAGCTCTGACTTGGGTCAGCCCTGTGCCGCTCAGCGGGTCGTGGGCACGATGGAAGCCTTGATTAATATTACGGTGCATATCTCTGATGTTCACTTTCGGGCCATCCGCATTTGGCATGACATCTGGACATGCGGACGCATTCCATACTATTCCTTCCCCCTCGCTTCCTCCTTATGTCCTCTTCCTTCTTCGTTCCGGCCTGAACGAGCATGGTGGAGTCCTCTCCCCATACATTGGGAAGGCGGCAATGTTCATCATCGCGAGTCTTCTGACCCGAAAAAATTTGACGGGACTTCTTTTCGACTCGATTGCGGCGTTGCTCGATTTCCGTTTGGCTGGAAGTTTTGATGAGGAGGGCCCAGGGAACGGGGGGGAGCGGCGACGGCGACAACGACGACTCAAAAGGGAAAACGTCAAGGAAGGGGAGCGGCGACGACGACAACTCAAACGAAAGAACTTTTCACAAACGCCGACATGTCGACGGATTTCCTCACAAATTTACTCGGAGACTCCCTGGCCAGAGGGGCTCCGAAACACAGGATCGGCGCTCTCGCCCGACACCTCTTCGCAAAGTCGGTCAAGTTCGTAATTCACTTGCGACGACAACGGCTCCGTAATTCACTTGCGACGACAACGGCTCCCAGTCGATACCTCTCCGACAATTTATTATGAGACGCCTTGGTCAGAGACGCCCCGAATCTGAGGAACGACGCTCTCGCCCTGGACTTCCTCGCAATTCAGTCAAGACGGTGAGTTGCCCGCGGACGCGTTGGCTCGCACTATGGCCATGGCGGGTGTACTGCTCAATGCTTCTCTAGGAGCTGGCATGAAAAGACGCCCCCCCGAAGGAGGTTGGCTCATAAACTTAGCAGGCGGGTATAATGGAGATGGAGAATCACATGAAGTTCAAAACTGTTTTTTGGATCACATGTTCGCAAGTTGATCGCCGTCGTTGTCGTTGTCGTTGTCGTCGTGGTATTCCAGTCGTCGTCGTCGTCGTCGCCGTCGTCCGATCGATTGGTCGATCGATGGTTGAGCTTCGAGGGGGAGGTGGTTGGAGGTGCGGACGTGTCTGGCCCATCCTCAGCCTCTGGAGGCCTCTGGACAGTGTTGGTCGCCGTCCTGAGGGCCAAGGTCCACTTCGATCCGATCGATCCCGCTTGAGATCGATTAGGGCTGGCTCGATGTGGTTCGATGCCGGTATTCCAGCGATCAGATGTGGCTCGATGTATGCGTGGCGCTGTTGCACCTTTGCGCGACTGATCCGATTCGATTTCGACTCGGAGCCGACGCAGGCCGATCCGTTTCACATTCCGATTGGATCCGACTTCCCGATGCGACGCTGATTAATCTCGTTCCCAGGTCTGGCCCACCGTGAAGAACCTTACCCTTTCGCACCCAGTCCTTGGCACGGTGAATCGATCGCACGTCGACCCCTGCAAGATAGCGCAGATCCTGGTTGTGTGGCAGGTCACCGACCCAGAGACGCACCCAGAGGTCCTCGACCCTCTTCACGGCAGGCGGATCAACTTGATGTCGGTTGCCGAGCTGAGCATGGACGGAGGCCATGAGGAGAGGCAGATGGTCTGCGTCGACTCAAGGGTTCGTAGTTTGATGGTGTCGGGATCGGCGGACACGGGTGAAGAGGTGAAGATTCGTGTCGATATGGCGATCATCTTCCGGCGCGACGGCAACGAAGTAGCAGGCACGCACCGCGAGTCCAGCGATGAACACGGCGACGACGAGGAGCGAGGCTGGTGGGAGGCTGCGTTTTCCGAGCCGGTGTTCCAGAAAGGGCCGCTGGCAGGAGCCGGGGGCCTGGTGAGGTACGTGTGGCATGATGTCGACAGAGCCGAGAGCGACGCGGAAGCTTCGTATGCTTTCTGGCATCCAGCGTGCATGCAGCTTCGGGAGAGGACGGCATATTTGCCAGGCTACCACATTCGGCTGAAGGTGGTCCAGGAGACCACAGATGAGAGCGGCGAGAGCAGAGTGGCGGAGGTGGGCTCATGGGAAGAGAGGCTGGATTGGCTCCTGCAACACTGCGAGCTCGAAGGCTTGGAGTGGTTCAACGCCATCCTGGTGGAGAAGGGCAGTTCGCGTGCCGTGGGTCAGGTTCAGATGTCTGTGGACGTCTTCACCAGGCGTCCGCATCAGTCACTCGATCGCTACGATGTAGAATACACTGGCAAGAACACTTCGATCGGATTTATTGATTCGCGCGAGCATCACACTCAGGATATTTACCTCACTATACATGGAGACCAGTTCCTCTTTGGAGAGAGCCCGTGGAATGTCAGGCCTGTGCTCAGGGTGTTGCTGGGCCAGTCCGTGAGTGAGAATGTCATTATAACATCTTGTCACCTTGTTTCGTCCGACAGCGGATTGGTAGAATTTTGGCTTGAGGATGTGCATATCTCGGCTCCAAAGAATGAGCAGCATTTGCGTCTACAGCTTTGGAACCAGGTCAAAAGTGGACTGAGCACAGAGGACGTGCTTGTTTGCGAAACCGAAATCCGAAAGCTCGTGCCTCATAATATCGTATATTGGCGGCATTGTTTTGGTGGGTCCGTGGGGTCAACTTTTCCGTTTAAATGCTTGCTGATGTCGCGCAATATGATGGCTCCTTCCGCCTACCGTGGAACGCTTGCGGTGCATGCAGCCAGTCTCCCGCCAGACTTGGACAGAGTAAAACGACATGTTCGCGATGCTTACTTCGTGGTGCAGCTCTGCGTCCGCCTCCATCGTGGGCTATATATCGACGGGCTCAGGGGACATAGTGTGAAAGTCTTCGTGAGAGTTGCAGGGTGCAAGGGCTTTCACGAAGAGGGCAATGCAATCTTGCTGTTCCAAGGGAAGGTCGACGATGCCGGGGTGCTGCGCTTCAAAAGCACCGACGACAACAGCGGCGGCGATCGCTGGTGGGTCCAGAAGAGGACGCCGCCGCTGTACGTGCCTCCCTGCGTGCGCTACGCTTATATCCATATAGTCCGGGAGGATCAGGCCACCAGGCCCTGGAGTGCGGTCTTTGGGCGTTATCGTCTGAAATCTAGCCCACACGAGGCCAAGTGGAAAGATTTGCGCTATGACCAGTCGTTGGAGACGCCCACGCCAGCCCCTTTTATATCTACGCATTTCGCGGGGTGCTTGCTCGGCGCCGCCTGGTTCGAGAGGGGAAAGGTGGTACGAGTGACCGTGTTTGTCGATGATGATATAATCCAAGGGATCTCTTTTGAGCATGAGCTAGGTCACGGCGTGTCTACGTTCGGGCACGCAATTGGGATCTCCTCACTATGGGACGTGCCTGGAGGCGAGCACTTGGTCAGTTTCAGCGCGTACTCCGACCAGGCGCTGCGGAAATGCTGCTTCGGCACAGAGTCAGGCTTGTACAGTAGCCCCTGGTTCGGTGTTGGCCATTACGCCGACCCCCCGAAGGAGATCGAAGAACAAGCGTTAGCCAGCGTGAATCCCAAACAGTATTTGTCTTGCAATCTATGCGGTGCAAGCTAAGTGGTGCAATCAATGTGGCAATCTAGGCGGTGCAATCCATATGGTGCAAACTACGTGGTGAACAGCGACGCAAAGCACTGCGAAGCAATACTAAGCACTGCGAAGCAATGCACACCAATGCAAAGCACTGCGAAGCAATACTAAGCAATGCTAAGCGATGCAAGCCAATGCAAATCAAAGCAAAGCAAAGCAATGCAAACCAATGTAACGCGATTGAAATGCGAATCAATACAACGCAATGCAAAGCGATGCCAAGCAATACAAACCAATGCTGCACCGCAATGCAAAGCAATGCAGAGCAATGCGATTGTAATGTGATTGCAATCCGATTGCAAGCTGCAAACCAATGCAACACAATGCAAATACATGCAATGGCATGCAAAGCAACGTAAAGCAATGCACAGTAATGCAGCGCAATGCAATGCAACGCGATTGCAAGTCAACTCAATGCACCACAATGCAAAGTAGTGCAACTCAATGCAAAGCAATGCAAAGCAATGTACTTTGATGCCAGCAATGCAGGGCAATGCCAATCAATGCGATCGCAACGCGATTGCAATTTGCAAATCAGCGTCGTCTGATCGCAACGCACTGCGATTGCAGTGCGACCGCAATGCAACGCAATGAGATTGCAACACAATGTGATCGCAATGCAACGGGGGGTGGTGCAACGGGGCGGCGGCGACGGGCGGGAACGGGGCCACCACCGGGGCCCGAAGCAGGCCTTTCCAATCCAATGCAAGCGATAGGATTTTGCAATCGATTGGAATTGCAACGATCCGGCCGCAAACGGCGGGGGCGTGCGGCGGGGCGGCGCCGACGGGGCGGCGACGGCGACTAGAAGGCGACGGACCCGACCATGGAGCCCAGACGACGGGCGGCGACGAGGCGGCGACGGGGCGGCGACGGCGACAACAATGCGGCGGACCCGACAACGGAGCCCAGCTTTCCACAGAGAAGGTAGGACCCCCGAAGTGCAAGCACTGTTCGGGGAGAGACTACGTGAACGTAAACTTCCAGAGCTCCGCGTGCGGACGTCCCTCCCCTTGCGTGCCGTGCGCGCCCAGGGCGGCGCCGGAGGCGCCGCCAGGGGGAGGTCCAGGGCCGTTTCGAGGAATCCGCGCGGACCTCCGAAAGTTTTATGCTCGTGCGGGTTCGAGGCCACACGCGGGGGCGAGAAGGTGATCATGCCTCGCGCGTCGCGGCCCGTGTCGGGGTGTTGCCCTTTTCCGGGGCGGCTTCGCCAGGGCGCGAAGATAAATGCGCGTCGCGTGGCGCGATGCGCGAAGTTAGGCGGCCCAGAGTTTGTGGTTCTTCAAGGAGTGGAGGGCGAAGCCCCGCTACCACATCACCCGCCTGGAAATGGAGCACGGCCTGTCGGGGCCGGTCCCAGTCGGCATCGAGGAGTGTCGGCATTCCGAGGAGGACACCGCATTGGAGCGCCAGCGTCTCCTGCCCAGGCTGTGTGGAGGGACAACGAGACGTGGCACTAAGCATGAACTCTTGGATCTTCCGCGCAGATCTCTCCAGTCGGCAGCAGGCCCCCATCCCAGGGTCCATTTCGATCCGCTCGATCGGGTTCCAGAATCGATTCTGGCCGGCCCAACCCGATTCGACTCCGATTTCCCAGCGGTGCGATGCGGCCCGATGCTGTCATGTTTGGTTTCTGGTGCATCTTGGCGCGGCCGATCCGACTCGATTCCGATTATGTGCCGATGCGGCCCGATCTGGCGCACCTTCGAACCCGGCTTCCCGATTCGATGCTGACCGATCCTGTTCCCAGGACGGGCCGGGCGCCGGAGGGGATTGGCGGCGCGCACGAGGGGGTGGAGCAAGGGGCAGCTTTCTACGAAGGGGGTGGGGGGGTGGGGCTTCATGGGGCCTCTGAGGAGCCAGGAGGCTTCTCAGAGGCCCTCCCCTGGCTGCCCCGGGGGAGGCCTCTTGGAACCATTCCGGGCGCGCCCGCGGAGGCCCCCGCCTTTTGAGAAGCCCCCCGCCTCCTGAGACGGAAGCCCCCCCTCGAGCCATCCCTTTGGGCGCGCCGCGGCAGTGGTGTAGCGAGGGTCGTCCACGCGCACAAGGGGGTGTGGGGGGGAGGGGGGCGGGGGGGAAAGGCTTCTCAGAAAGAGGCTGGTTCTTGGAAGGCGCGGGCCTTGTCTGTAGATGCAAGGCCAGCGCCTGCTAAGACGCAGCATCCTTCTCAGAAGCATTCCCCCTTCCCCTATACCCCCTTGTGCGCGCCGCCAAGATGGGGCGGGAGGCCCATCGGGCGGGGCCAGGACCCGGAGAAATTGTCGCAGGGCGTTCCGGAACGCTCTGAGGGCGTCCCCGAGCTCTCTGGAACGGCCGCGGCGCCCGATACATCCTCCAGAACCGGACTTCAGAGACCCCCGATCTATTCAGGTCCGATGTGGTCTCGGCCCTGGCTTTGTCTTAGCCCAGTGCCGACCGAAAGAGTCCGCGTGGACGTCCGAAGGGCTATGGCTACGCCGCTTTTTGCTTGCTCTTCTTCTGAAGGCTCGGGGTGCCCCCGGAGGGCGTGCAGTCGGCCCAGCAAGACGGCCTCGGCCCAGTGCGGCCGCCCCGCCATCACAGGCACGCGCAGACGGCGTCGGCACTCCGCCGCTGTGGGCTGGCCAGGGCCATCCTGGGCCTCGCAGGGAGTGTGCTGCACAGTTCTTTCGAGCGGGGGGTCGACTACAGAACTGGTTTACCCTGAAACTGGCTTTTGCCGTGGAGTCCACCCACTGATATGCAAAATTCCCGTAGTCCTATGAACATTCTATGCACTGTTGATACATTCGACGAGAAGTCAATTTTGGGGCAAGTCAGCTCTGCAGGCGATCCCCTACTCCCAGACATGCGACGTCCTGATTTTCTCAATACGGGGTCCCTGGATGTCTGGACCAGTTCCCCGGGACCGGCTTCTCATCCCGAGTCGCTTCTTGACAGCCCCGCGGCCCGGCGAGGGCCCCCCGAGGCCGAAAACGACCCAAAAAACTTCCCGTCCAGATTTTGTTCAACGACGCGATCATGTCTGAGCTCGACGACCGCCAGGAGCCCCAGACCCAACCTTTCTGCGTCATTTTTCGAGCCCGATCGATCTGTGAGGGAACCAGGGCCCGAAAGGAGGCGAAAACGCCCAGCTCGAGAAAATCGAGACGCCAGGATCTCGGGGTCACCTGCTCGAACACGGCGCCCTCCCGGCCGGTGCCCGGAGGGCGCGGAGCTCGGCACCTGGCGCTCCCGCCTCTGGCGCTTCTGCGGCGTGGGCACCCTGGGCTTCTCGGGGTTGGCGTCTCGTCTCCTGGGCCAGTGCGCACGGTGTCTCGTTCCATTGAGGTGCCCCTCTCGGGGCTCGCACCCTGCTCTTATTCGGGAAAGTCTTCGTGCTTAAACTGCGTTGTTGCCACCCCGGCTACAACAAGAACGGCTCCCGCTGTATATTTCTTTACAATGATGTACAAAGTCAAGCCGTCGCGCGGGACTTCCTCACAATTCATGCAGGAATCGCGCTCTCGCGTGGGACTTTCTCGCAATTATTTCAGACGCCGCGCCCTCGACACTCAGGAACCACGCTCTTGCTTTCTGGCTTTTCTCCCGATTCACTTTAGAATCGCACTGTCGCTCGAGACTCCTTCGCGATTCATGCAGGACCCACGTTTCAGTCGACAAGGACCCGCCTTCCCGACCCGCCCGCTAGGGTCTTCCCGCCCGATCTGCCATGTGTTTTCTGCTCCTAGCCCCCCCTCCTGCTAATCTCTCTCGTGCTCCATCCGTCCCCCTTTCCAAGATGTTCCCCCAAGGGGGTACGACCGAAGACGAAGAGGGCGGGTACGGAGGGTTTGGGGTATTATTGTTGAGTGGCACGCGAGCAGATAGGAGCGAACGGACTTAAAATAAATATTGTTTTTTGTTCGGTTGTGGTTTATATTAATGTTGTTGCTGTTGTAAACCAGGGGGCAAGGGCACAGTTTGAGCATATGTAGAGCTTCCTTCATAAAACAAGGTGCGAGCCCCGAAGGCGCACTTCAATTGAAAAATCACAGTGTGCACTAGTGGGTGGACCATCAATAATTATTCTTCTTGAATAATAGTTCAACAACAACAGCCACCACAACAACAACAACAATCCGCACCGCGGAACCCCACTTCAGCCACGCACCCAGGGACAGTGAATGACCGTTCGGCCCCCTCACTCTGGTATACAGCTCGCCCTCCCCACCCGAGCACCCCCCCTCACTTTACCTTCGGTTCCCGTGCATCGGTCCTCCCATTTTCGCCCTCTTCCGTCATATTGTGAATAGTCGTCATCCTTTTCTCTTCCCTCATCCCCCCTCTCTTTCATATAAAGGAAGAGTTGCATTGAGGTCTGCACTCCTTTCTGTAGTAAGAGCTTCAGAGCTGTAGCACGAGCTGTCATCGGAGAAGTTTCTTTCGTCAGAAGAGTCAGAGCTGTCATCGGATATGCCGTAGGAGCTGCATCAGGACCTGTAGTACTAGATGTAGTGGCTGAGCTCGGCTGTGGTAGGATCCGTATTAAGAGCTGCAGCGCTAGCTTTAATAGCATCAAATGTAAGCCCTGTGACAAGAACATTTGCATGACCTGTGGCAAGAGCTGTAAGCGGGTTGTAGTGCTGACTGAATTAGGAACCGGATTACAATTTGTAATAGAAACTGGAGGGGGGGCAATCGTAAGAGTTGCGCTGGGAGTTCTACGGTCCACTCTGGTAAGGTCTGTAATGCGAGTTGTATTCAATGATACGTCACGGAACTGCAGTAGGAGGTGTATTCAGCTCAGCAGTAGACATTGTAGCAAGAGCTGTAGTAAGACCTGTACTACTGGCTGGACAAGAAACTGAATGAGGAACTGTAGATGGAGGCGCATTGCGAACTGCATTGGGGTATATACTGCTGGTTGCTGTTGGATCTGCAGCAGGGGAATTACTAGGCACAGTGTGGACGACTGTGTTGCTGGCTGGCTGCAGTGGGAATTGCTATACGAATCGCACTAGGATGTGCAATCGGATGTGCAACATGATTGGAAGCAGGAGCTGTACCACAATTGATAGTCGGAACTGCACTGATAGCGGTTATAGTAGGCATTGTTCTAGGAAATTTAGAAGGAACTGTTGTAGGAATTGCAGTCGGAGCTGCAGTGAGGAGTGTAGAAGGAGCAGATGAGAGGGAACTGTATTGCTAGCTGTAGTAGGGGCTGCACTGCGACCCCTTACTTGAAGTTGTAGTAAGGAGGTCGTAGTACGAGCTGTAGTGAGGGCGGAACTGTCCTATTGGCTGTGCCAGAGGAGTGTATTCGGACCTGCAGTAATCTGTGCAGTATACATGGTATGAAGAACGATAGTGACAGCTGTCCTGTTGGACGTGCGGAGAACGCATCGGGAGTTGTGCTGAGATCAGGGCTACTGGTTGTAACGTGGGTTTGGGTAAGAGCTTTAGCAGGGACAGTGTGGAACGCTGTGCTATTGGCTGCAGTGGGAATTTCAATCAGAACTGCATTAGGACATGCCATCGAAAGGCGAACTCGAAACCTGATATCTAGCAGGAGCTGTAACACACACTGTGGTGGGAACAGTACTGGTATCGGCTGTTGTAGGTACTGTTGTAGGAGTTGTAGAAGGAGCTGCTGTCGGAATTTCAATCGGAGCTGTAGTGGAGGAGGATATGGAGGAGCAGATGTGAGGAAACTGTACAGGTGGCTGTAGTCGGAGCGTTTTTCACGACATGTTTGCTCATAGGGGCTGTATTAGATGGGGGCCGTATTACGAGCTGTTCGCAAGGGGGCTGATCAGCTGAAATGGGAGGTGTCTAAATTGCTGCGCCAAGGGATTATTGTAGGAGCGGTGAACAGTTCGATGGCGTTGGTGGCCTGGAGGAAGTGCTTGGGGGACCATACACATAAATAAACATGTGCATACATACAGATATAGGTCGTACCCAGACAGTGCTTGTACTTAGGGGTTCTTACTCGTCCTCTAACGAACTGGGCCGTTTGGCCGGTCTGGCCGATACGTAGTCGCCGTCGCCGCTTTGTCGGCGCCCGTCGCTTTGGCTGTGTGGTCTGCCTGGCGGCCATGTGGTCGCTGTAGCCGCACCGTTGCCGCCTCGTCGGCACCCGTCGCCTGGGCCGTGTGGTCGGTCTGGCAGCTGTATGATCGCCGTCGCCGCCTCGTCGCCGCCCGTCGTCTGGGCCATGTGGTCGGTCTGGCGGCTATGTGGTCGTGGTCGCCGTCGCCGCCCCGTTGCTGCCGCGTCGCCGCCTCGTCGCCGCCCGTCGTCTGGGCCGTGTGGTCGGTCTGGCGGCTATGTGGTCGCCGTCGCCGCCTTGTCGCCGCCCGTTGCCGCCGCTTTATTCTCCTTTCTGAAAGACTAATAGATTCTACCCCCCCCCCGGACTTATCGGGACCCCCGCGCGTGCTGTAAATTACATATGATTCTGACCACATGTCCATCCTAAATATGAGTTCATATTATCCCAGCCAAGCCGGGTTCCCCCCCCCTGCGGTTCCCTTGTAAAAAACACTATGCGGTGACATGTTTTGTTCTAACATAACACTTGTTCACGAATCCCTTGCAACAAATGGGACGAAGTGCACACGCGCGCGTCGTCGCGCGCGCATGCCGAAATCCTTCAAAAACCTTCGGTGCCGGAAGGATTTCGCAATCGAGTTTCCAAAAAACCTACAAACACACATGGTTTCGCAACACAGATTTGCAAAAAAAACTTCCGCGCGAGGTCTTGCGAAATCTTAAGAAAACCAGGGTTTTTCCAAGATTTTCACAAAATGCTACCAAACGGGCTTCGCGCGCGCATGTCGAAATCTGTCGAACGCCCTTGCGCGTGTGCCGTCGCGAGAATCCTCTGCAACAAATGGGACGAAGTGCAGACGCGCGCGTCGTCGCGGGCGTATGCCGAAATCCTTCAAAAACAATCGGTTTCGGAAGGATTTCAAAATCGTGCGTCCAAAAAACCTACAAGAACCCAAGGTTTCGCAACACGGATTTTCAACAAAAGCGTGCGCGCGCGCTCTTGCGTCGTCGTCGTCGTCGTCGTCCTCCCTCCTCCCTCGTCGTCGTCGTCGTCGTCGTCGCCGTCGTCGTCTTCTGTCTTTCCTCGTCGTCGTTGTCGTCGTCTTGGCGTCGTCGTCGTTTCCGTCGTCGTTGTCGCCGTGGTCGTCCTTCCTCCCTCGTTGTCTTCGTCGGCGTCTCGTCGTTGTCCCTCCTATTTCGTCGCCGTCGTCGTCGTCGTCGTCGTCGTCGTGGTCTTCACTCCTCCCTCGTCGTTATCCTCCTCCCTCGTCGTCGTCGTCCGTCGTCGGCGTCTCGTCGTCGTCCTTTCATTTCGTCGCCGTCGTCGTCGTCTTCGTCGTCGTTGTCATCGTCGTCGTCTTCCCTCCTCCCTCGTCGTTGTCGTCGTCGGCGTCGCCGTCCTTCCTCCTTCTTCGTCGTTGGCGTCGTCGCCGTCTTCCCTCCTCCATCGTCGTTGTCGTCGTTGTCGCCGTCGTCGTTTTTTCTCCTCCCTCGTCGTCGTCTCCGTTGGCGACGTCGTCGTCGTCTTCGTCGTCGTCGTCGGCGTC